AGCATGTCGTTGTGTCCCTGAGACACTTCACCCCAAATTGCTCCTGTGGGGATTGCCCACAGTATGGAGTATGTAAGTCGCTTGGGATAAAAGCGTTTAACAAGTGACCTGTTATGTAAACATTTTTAAAATTTCCCGACAGGTATAGGAGCCAAGTTAGGCACTGTTACTGGTGGCACCATTCTTCTCTTTGTGCATTAGTTCAAAAAGAACCCTCCTCTCTCAAAGGACGTTTCTATTTTGCACATACCGCATTACATTTCGGATGAAAAACAGCTGACAGAAGACCAGTGAAAACTGATAGACATCGTCTGCTCCTACTGTTGCCAAAGAAGCTATCCTTCAAAGATGGCCGCACCAAATGAACCCCATTCTCTACTGAAACTTCCTCCACATTCAAACCCACCTGAGCGACCTCCCGAGGGAGGAGAAGACGGGGAAGGCGGGCACGTCGTCGGGCTTGTTGAAGGCCCAGTAGTGCGAGGCGAAGGCTCCGGCGAGGGTCATCTGTCCCAGCGCCGTCACAAAGTTAGCGCACCAGAAGAAGAGGAAGACGTTGTAGAACTGCAGCCCGATCAGGTACTTGTGGTACGCCGTCTCTCCGCCGTAGAAAGCGAACAGGCACTCTGAGTCCGGGCACTGCGTCTTTTCCATACTGATGGAGTAGTTCTGAGCACAGATACAGGTTATATAGACACCTTTATACACACTTTGGAAATCTACGCTCCATTCAATGTCATGGAAACGTTGAAAATACACTCACAAGAGGATGATTAGGTCTAAAGAGAAATCTGATGTCCTGGTTTTAGGCCTCACTCCTGCACCTTGAATTGCCTTGTGTTGAAAGGTGCTATATAAATAAACTTGCCTTGCCAAAGATAGTTGGTTAACCCTTTCAGAGACTTTCTGACTCCTCATATCATAATAACCTAATAAGACTGTCCAACAACATCATGGGACCTAAAGCATGCTCTAACAGAGAATATGAACTGCTACCATCTAATGGGAGATTCAATAAAGTCAGGCTGAAGCATCCTTTGTGCTCCAGTCAATCCTCTCAGTAAACACAGAGCAGAATCCAGATCAAATGCACGCTGAAGGCTCTTTGAGCAGGTTTTCTCTCACTGATCGTGATGTTATGTTAAATGTTAGTTTTCCATGTATATGTGTCTGTTGATGTTACACATGGAGCTGCTGTGATGAAAGCCACATTTCAGACTTGATCTGACCATTCAAGTATTATCGTATATAGACACCTTTAAAAAAAACACACACGGATCATGTCATGGAACCATTGAAAATACATTCACAAGATGATAATTAAGCGTGAAAGCTGTTTCAAAAGTTTGATTCAATTAATTTTATCCACAAACATGTTAAAAACCACAAGACATAACGGAGATTTGTTAAATGGGATAACCAATCAGAAGCTATAGAATAGGGTTCCAGGAATACGTAATCTGGGGCGGCTGTGGCTCAGTGGATAGAGTGCTGGACTTCGAATCAGACTGCGATTCAGGGGGTAACAAGTTCGAGCCCCACTGCAGTCAGCATGTCGTTGTGTCCCTGAGACACTTCACCCCAAATTGCTCCTGTGGGGATTGTCCACAGTACTGAATGTATGTAAGTCGCTTTGGATGACATGTAATTACTGATAACCAACTTCCATGTTGTCTTAAAGCTGCAGTATCACTTATATGTCCCTTTTAAGCCTGTTTGGTCATCTTAATTAACTTTTAAAAACGTTTTTAGGTTGAGTGATTCCAGGATGTTGCAGTGTCATTTCTGGGTTTTAAGGATATGTCGACGATTATCCCGTGTATTTTGTGAATTGATAACATTTTGGCCAGGATTAAAATGGAGGTCCTAACATCCATTGATAATAAAGAGGAGAACTCACCGCAGGTTCACAAGTTTTTCTCGAGTGGTCGCAAATCGTCTCATTGAAGACTTTGTAGATCGGTTGGTTAGAGGTAGACAAGAAGCTGATCAGTTTTATTAAGGACAACGTCAGAAGATGTTCAGCATCCTAGTCAACTACGCAAAATCCTACGACGTCAAATTAAGTTTTGGTGACAACATTTAACGCTAACCAACTCCTGAGCTTAAATACTTTCAACATGTGCTTTTTAAGTTCATTTCTGTTTAGTCGCACATGCTTAAATCAGCTGTTCCAGTAATGGGACATTTAGAAAGGATACACAGCAGTGACGCCCCAGTAGGCGATGACGATGGCCAGGAGGAGGAAGGTGAAGAGAGGGTAGAAGAGGGAACACATCACATGCCCGATGGTTCTGTGAACACAACAACAACAACAACAACGTCACAACCAAGACAAAAATCATCACTTTGAGTCAAATTACAATTAGTTTAACTGTGTTTTTGGCATTAGTCCGATTCTCTAATGCTTGCTTTGTACAGTCAAATGAGTTTTAAGTTAGAAAACATCTTAAGGTCATTGATATATTTTAACTAGGGCTGTCAAAAGATTAAACATTTTAATCAGATTAATCACAGCTTAAAAATGAATTACTCATGATTAATCAACATTCAAACTATGTCCAAAATATGCCATTTCTTTATGTATATTGTTGTGGGAATGGAAAGATAAATGAAAGAAGGCGGATATATCCATTTAACATACAGTATGTATGTATGTTTATTATAACATTGTTCTGTGTGTCAACATGAAAGACAGCCCACACACCTATCAATCATCAAACCGTGGGGTCTTATTTCATTACGTGTTGATTTCTATCAACACGTAATGTTGTATCGATGTATAGAGATGTACTACAGCAAAAGTATTCTCCGTCGGGACTTCCTGCAACAACACCACGCCGTTATCTTGATTCTGATTGGCCAGAAGACATTATCAAAGATGTTCTATTGAGAAGA